ACGACGACGACGACACACACAACACACACACACACACACACACACACACACACACACACACACACACACACACAACACACACACACACACACACACACACACACACACACACACACACGCACACACACGCACACACACATATACATACACGCACGCGCGCACACACACATTTATATAAGCGTCGCGATCACCCGTTAATCCGCCTCTATACTGCTTTGCCGTTAATCCGCCTCTATACTGCTTTGCCGTTAATCCGCCTCTATACTGCTTTGCGCATCGGTCGTCTGCTATGATCGCCTATATACGTGTTGAGCTAAGGCGACCTCGCTATATATTTCGATCTGGCGGCACCACGACGCCATGAATTCCTCCTTATTATAATGTATCGTATATAATGTAATGCAGCGATCTCACAGCGCGTAGCTTTTAGCTAAATCTCTGCTACTAAGTAGAGCGCTAATACACCGCTAAATTGATAGCGCATTAAATTAGCGCGTCCATTTAAGTGACGATTACCTTAGAGGCAATCTCACGAAATATCTACGCCATGTACACGTTCCGTTGGTGATTGTACTTAAGCGGACGTTTAAGCGCATTTCTGCGTACTAATCGCACAGCAGCATCGTCAGGGGTCGGGCGGGCGGCTACGGGATGTCTACGCACTGACAGCATCGAACAGAGCTGTCACGAGAAATGCTGTTCTACCTCTCCAACTCGCTGAAACACCAGGCATAATGACAATCACGCGGTTCAACGGGTGAAAAAGATAAAAGCGAAAAACCCTCCGCTATGTAGCGTTGATTTCACTAACAACGAAACTATCACGTCTCCATAGAACGTTGCTGATCGATGGAAAAACCCACACTGTCTTAATGACTAATTAACGACATTTTCTCTATCATTAACACTCATATTAAATTGCGCGTATTTACATAATACCAGCAAAAAAATAACATTGCGCTGCTATTCCCTCGCGATAACGCAATTGTGGTGTTTATCGGTATGATTAATCATAGTCATAGTTAATATGCAGATATATAAATAGTGAGAGTCATATATTATATTACGGATATATTATCTATGGGTGCCGATTGTATACGACATCTCGTAGTGATTGCCCCACTGGGAGAGAAGGGGAAAACTGCGGGCACGCGTGTGCATGGTGATGAGGCATGTACCCACGCACCCGTGTCTACACCGTACATGCGCGTCAACACCCCCATAGCTCTTTCCCGTCACGATTCCCGCACGCTTCCCACCGGCTGGGGGAGGAGGCGGTGGTAGGCGGGAAGGAGGACACGGCCGCGTGCAATCCGGTAATGGTGTCATTTTGGCGCGCATCATTCATCAGTCGAAGCGATGATGATCAGAGGGGAGGGCGGGAAGTTAGCACGACACTATTCGCGCGGCATCGACACACCGTCGCCATTACTAACGGCTTAACGTCGCACGGCGTATAAATAATTTACACCGACGTCACGCTCGCCGCTAATTGGTCGCGTGCGTCGACGTGGGTAAGTCAAACGCGCGTGCGCATGCGCATCGCGACGCTGTCGGCTGCCAGCCTCCCCCAAACGCTAATGATGTGAGGAGTGAAACTGTCCCGGATGTAAGCACGCGGGTTCACGTGAAGTTCGACGGAACAACTACTGCGCATGCGTACTGTACTCATGCGTGCTACGGGTACTTTATTAGGGGTATTTTACGGGTATTTTACGGGTATTTTACTTGTATTATTAGCTCTTGGTTAGATAAAAGTAGGTATGTAGTTATGTAGTTAAGTGTAGATAGGCATCTAGTTAGGTATACGTAGGCATCTAGTTAGGTATATATAGGTATGTAGTTAGGTATATATAGGTATGTAGTTATGTAATAGATAGGTATGTAGTTAGGTATAGATAGGTATGTAGTTAGGTATAAGTAGGTATGTAGTTAGGTAATAGATAGGTATGTAGTTAGGTATAGATAGGTATGTAGTTAGGTATAAGTAGGTATGTAGTTAGGTATAGATAGGTATGTAGTTAGGTATAGATAGGTATGTAGTTAGGTATAGATAGGTATGTAGTTAGGTATAGATAGGTATGTAGTTAGGTATAAGTAGGTATGTAGTATGTAGGATGGTCGCTCGCCTATATGAAGACCTATTCTGAATAGGGACTTGCTATCATAATATGATAGCAAGTCCCTATTCAGAATAGGTCTTCATATAGATCTTTTCGTCGTCACCTCGCCGCTTACCCACCCTTCATTAAATTATTACCTCAGATAGGTGCGGAGTGCCAACCTAATAACGTTTAGATTAGTCGTCGGGAAATGTCGCGGATGCGCCCGAGAAAAATGATTGCGACCGTTAAACAGACATCAAGCTAGAGCAACCAAAAAGCACGAAATTAAACATGATTGAGTGCTTTCTAAGAGATCTTTTAAATCGAAGTCTGGACTCGTAAAGAATGATTTTTGCATACATTGCGACACACGGCTGCGGAAGTTACAGAACATTAAAAACCATCGATTTTAACGTTTAATCAAATACGTACATTCATGTTGAATCTAGCTCAAGCGAAAATAAACTGCTCGTCTATAATTTTATACTACTACTATACGCGCCCACGCACCATTCATCTAAACGCGGCCGCTTACGAAAATCGCGGCAAAAAATATAAGTAAATTTTTTCTGTGATGGTTCCGCGTGTTTCTGTTCTTGGTATTGTCCTTGTTTGACGTCGTTGTGCTCTACTTTCAGGCATCCTTGCGATCCACGTCGCTCTGCTAGTCTTCGTGCTCATGCTCGCACACTGCCACGCCGGCTATCGCATCCCGTACCCGATGAACTCCGTTGCTGTGTCGACGGGACTCGGCAAGCGAGCCGAAGATGAGACTATAGACGGACGACCGAGTCTAGGACGCTTGGATTTAGACCAGACCGCACGCGTTTGGCCCGCGTCGGACACCTACACGGTCAGGAGGAGCGGAGATAGCCAACCAGCGCCACCTGTTGGTGCACCTTGGAACATGGTTGACATTGTCAATGGCAGGCCCGAAACGTATGAGTTGGAGACAAGCAATGCATGGAGTAACCCACACGCCGCGGCAGCGAATAGGTGAGAATCGCGTATTGTTGACACGGATGTTATTATCGTACGGCGCCTAAGGGCGTTCGCATGCTTCAAGAAACTCATCGAATCAATTTACGAATTACGAACAAACGGTAATGTTGAATTACAAATTTGCTGAAGGTTACTATGCTGCTCATCGTAGCATGAAAAGCGCACGAGGAAAACCGAAGGTTAATTGAACGAGCAACTATATAATCCTAACGTGGCGCATCTGTTCTATTACGACACCATTGCCGACAATGGTGACATTGCCGACAATGGTGACATTGCCGACTACCAGAAACATAGCGCTACACCGTAAATACCAGTTTTACTGTATAGGATATCTGCGAAGCTAGGCGATGTAAATCTATGTGACACGACACGAGCACATTAGAAGTAATCACTGAGCCTTCTCCTGCGAATCGCTACAATAATCCCAAAATCTCCCGAAAATATCTGACAACCTAGTGCGCTCGCGGTCTATAACTCGTACCTGCGCGTCGACGCCTGACATAAAGATATCCCCAATTAAAACGATACGGTCATCGTCGACTCGTGTGAATCGATTACAGGTGGAGTTCTTGTCGAGACATCTAGACGAGTTTATAGGCGCGCGGTAAGGAGATCGACATTGTGTGCAAACGCGCGCATATATCGAGCACGCGTGCGGTGCACCGACGTCACAGTCTCACATAATAGATCCGACGATTAGCAGTGTTCGTATATGTTACTCTTCTCTCGAGCTAATCTTCTGGCAGTCAGAGAATCTGAGACAAAGCCTATACAAATCTCGCACAATGTGCTCGCTGCCTACGCGTAGGAGCGCCTATCAGAGGTGACGGCGATGCGTCATATATACGGAGGGTATAATGGTTATATCTAGCCATCCATCTATCTATCTATCTATCTATCTAGCTAGCTAGCTATCTATCTATCTAGCTAGCTAGCTAGCTATCTATCTATCTATCTATCTATCTATCTATCTATCTATCTATCTATCTATCTATCTAGCTATCTATCTACTGATCTATCTATCGATCTATCTATCTAGCCAGCTATCGATTTATCTATCTATCTGTTTAGCCAGCTATCTATCTATCTATCTATTTATCTATCTATCTATCTATCTATTTATCTATCTATCTATCTATCTA